GCATCTGCGTCGCGCGCTTTTGCAACATCCTTCGGCTCTCTTGGTTTTAACGCAATCTGGGGCACCCAGCGCAAGTTCGGCAACCTAACCGTCGTCAGCTGTACAGTTGAGTTAACCGTGCAGGTATACAATTACACAGGTATACAATTACAGGTATACAATTACAGGTATACAATTACAGGTATACAATTACAGGTATACAATTACTGCGACAACAACGCGTGCGCGCACCTGCGGAGTTTCGCGTAAGAGATGGTTTCTTCGCGCCCATATAGATCGCTACGTGCGGGGCTCGGCGCAGATCGAGCGTCCATCCAGCTGACGACGACGCAATGAGAAAAAACAACAACACAGAGACTCCTAAGCAGGCAAGGCAGGCGAGAGCTGCGTATACGAGCAAGCAGAGGCCTAAGATGAATGATAGAAAGAAGAAAAAAAGGGTGGAAGGAAGGGGGGTGGAAGGCAGTCAGAGGCCGGACCCGTTTCGCTTGGCCTACATCCCGAGCGTGGGAAAGAGGGCCCCCGTCAGCGGCCGGGCAGCACGGCCGGTCCGCTCAGCTGACGCCGACTGCTTCGCGAGCATCAAGAGGAGGACGCACGGGAAAATCCTTCGCGCCGAACGGGTTGGCCGGACGACGGCTAAGATCTCGAGGAGCGTTCGCCGTCGTTCTTCCGACGCGACGTTTCGGCGAGCGTTTTTATTTTATTTATTTATTTATTTAGGTACCCTAAGGGCCCAAATGGGCATTACATAGGGGGGGAATGGGTTGAAAGCCGACACGACGTACAATATTGTAAAAAGAAAGAATCAACACAACAAAAGTGACATTACAATATGATAAAGGCAGCAAAAGTACACAATTGCAAAGTACAGCGTGAAATATATAAAAAAAAGTGTTAAAGTGACAGAAAATCTGGTATTTGGAAGGCAGGAACACAAATTTACAGCCTAGAAAAGATGAGCATGATGAAGACAAGTTACAGTGTATTTTGAATAGCTAGAAAAGCGAGGAGTGCGGTTTGAAAAGAAGAGGTGTCTGTTTGGTCCACTAGGCTACTAGGTAAAGATAGTTCTGATATTTGTTTGTTCGGGCAAACATTGAGCCAACTTTGTGAGCGTGGTCAGCGCGTGCGGACGTATAGGGTGCCGGGAGTGTAAATTTGCGAGCGAATGGTGTTGGATGATGGTACAGGGTGTGAAAAAAAGCGTTGATTATAGAAGCACGTTTGCATGACGAAGGACCCCGTACGGGCGTGTCATATCGGTTATCGCCGGAGTGGAAGGAAATCTTGGGAAGTTCTATAGGTTTCGCAAGGAAGCGCTGACGCCCCCCCGTTTCGAACTCATATTTACTCCGAAGAAGACCTCGCTTGTTATGGCATTGTTCGTCATTAGCAGCCGTCACAGTACACTGTTTCGACCTGGCTTGCGCTGACTTCACTGGTTCTGTGGTAGGAACGCTTTGTGGCTTTCGCGAGTGTGAGAAACAACTCTCTTTGTGACTGACATGTCGCACGGATGCGACCTGGTTAATTCTTGGCTTTTAACCGACCCGAAGGTCATCCACGTGGAAACAACGTCAAGAACCACCTTTTGCAGGCTAGGTGTGAGTTCGAAACTGGGTTTTCGCCCCGAAGGGCTTAGCGGGGTTTGCGAGGCTCCCCCCAAGCGCAACACCCTTGTACTCGGGAGAGATATAGATGATAATTAATGAAGCGACCGGTTGTCGTTAGCCGGGGTTCTTTTTTTTTTCGTCATTTTGTCAAGTCGATGGGCGGAGCTAACTAAATTGTGTTTGCCTTGTTGTGGTACAAGCAGCGGAGAGCGAATCAAAGCGATATCTTGTGGTGGCGACAGTTTTTCCGAGTCGGTGATAAGCAAGGCCCGAGCCGCATCTTCTGCATGGCCGCAATATGGGCGCTCATCGTCTTGCAACGCTTCTATGAAATGCTCCGTTTTGAGCAACTGTAAAACGGGCCAAGCGACGGGAACGGACCCGACCGTTCAGCGCCTCTCACGTAATTTGCAATTTTTATCGCTACCGCAATTGCAGCGACACTTCAAACGAAAATTCGAGGTCGCTGGGGTGTTTCATATACCACATGCTGCAAGAAGTAAGATGAAGTGCTTTCTGTTAGTGCTGTCGACGCGGGAGGGTTATCTGTCTCGCGCTTTTACCGGAAACGAAGCTTAAACAACTCGCCCCACTTCATTGTGTTCATTGCTTCCCCTGCAGCGATAGCGAGCTCATTTACACTTACTCGGACTCTTTTACCAACGTTGCTCCAAACTAGACAACCACTGCACAACCGGACGGGTTCTCTTCCGAGCCATGCGCCTATGACGGCGTGCCGTATAGTGCCGTTTTATCTTGCTCGCATCGACGCGAGTCGTCCTAGATATATCGGTCGCCCGTATGAATGTGTATAGCGCGCGGTCTGTGGCGCTGCAGAGCAGTTCTTGCCCGCCCCTCACTTCCCCTCGCCGGCTCGTCACGACGTCTTCCGAGTAGGAACTTGCAGACTTGCGAGGTGTTGAAGAGGTCCTCCCCTGCTCTCGTGCGACCTTTGTGTATATGCCTAACCACAGGGCGCTCGCAACCTCCACGCCTTTTGCGACGGACGCGTTCTGGCCCTTCTCGTTTCCTTCCTCTCTTCATCCATCTTAACCTCCTTTCTCACTTCAACGGCTGTTCAAGGGATAGTATGGTCACGAACCGCGAAAGCTGTATACACACACGTCTAACCGGGCTGCAGACATTAGGCGCCATCTTTTTCTTCTTCTAAACAATACCACTGCCACGGCCGCTGCTCTAAAGATGGAGGCACTGTACACATGTCTACAGTCTATACATGTCTCTACATCTCTCTACACATGTCTCTACATACGTGTCTCTACACATGTGTGTTTGTCAACGCTCCGCATTCCTCACAGTCACTTTGCTGCAACCTTTCCACCGAACGGGCAGCTGTTGTTGTTGATGGTGATGATGTTGTTGTTTTTGTTGTCGCCGTCGTCGTTGCCTGGTTTGCATGTTGCAAACTGAAGTGAGTGACTACGCTGAGCAGCGGCACGAAACGGAGTTCGTTGCGCAGGACTTGAAAACGCGGTCCGGTCGCATCAGTGTACGGAAGCTCTCGTCGTACGAAGCAAACAATTGTTTGATTGTATGATTTATTCGTAGCGTCTGGCTTACTTTGGTATTTGTGAATTGAACGACTAAATTGGTTGACTCGCTCAACGGTTTCTGCGTGTTTTCGTTTTTTTTTTTGTCGCCTGTCATCCGGTTATTTCTTTCCGCTCCTTTTTTTTTAGCTTTCTCTTCTATTTATATTCGTTCTTGCCCAACAAAGTCACTGTGAGAGAATCTCGGTTACATTTCCACGGTGTACGCGTGGTAGTTGGCGATGTCGCCTCGGCACGTCGCGACAGCAGCGGTCGCTATGCCGCCATCGCCGCGGGCGGTGTCTCCCGCGTGTTGCGTCACGCCTATCGTCACGCTTATCGTCTTTACCGGCTCGGACCCCACCCCCTCCCTCCTCTCCGCCACAATCGCGGGCGTTGTTTTTCGCGCTGCCGCGTCTCTTGTGTGTGCCTCTCTCTCTCTCTACTGCTGCTGCTGCAGCCGACCGCAGCGTAATCTATTGTTTTTCTTTCTTTTTCTCTCTCTTTGCCCGGGTACGCGATAATGAGTCGACCGTCGTCCCAAATACGGTTGTTACCATAGCGCCCCGTTGCAGGCAGGAAGCCTTGGCGCCTCTTATTGGTCTCGTCCTCCCTTGCCTCTGCTTTCTGTTCTTTATTTTTTTTTTGTTCCGCGCGGTGGTTGTTTTTCGTACTTCTGGTAGCGCGCAATAGAGGAGCCGTCTTTGGCACGCCTCCAAGCGTGTAGTACGTCTTTTGCCAAAAAGCAGTTTTTCTTCTTTTCTTCGGAAGCTGGGTAGTAAGAGAGGTAGGGCGTTTGCTCGGCGGTAGTAAGTGCTTTATTTTAGCAAGATGTGGGGGGGAGGGGGTGCTATGGCTACAACCCTCACGCTACTAAACCCTACGCACGTAGTCACTTGTCCCCCGTTTCGGCCTCGAGTGTCATGCTAATTAAAATACTTATCCGATTCATTGCTCACGTATGAGACCATGTATGACGCACGTTCAACGCGCAAGTAAAATCTTTCTTAAAGCTTCAAAAGTTCTGGATGCAACGGTCAGGCACCCAAGACATCCTTAGTGCCTAAGGTGACCGGTCCCGGGGTTTGATTTCAGGTTTTAGAGCGGAATACCAAAGTGAAAATTAACTATTTAACTGGCGACCGAACACGCGACCGTGATCATTGCTACAGTTAGACAGATAATATATGAGCCTGCTAGAAAATGTCATTTGTAGCGTAGTGTCAAATTCTTTACGGTTTTGAAGTACACGCATACGATTGCAGTAGATGTCGTTTTTTTTTTCTGCTCGTATATCTGACAACGCTTCTTTCGTCACTAACCCATACCTATCGGAGCGGCTGGTCTTTCTGGATACTTTGTTGCTAACGGTTCCTGCGCAGCTATGCGCACCGGATGACAATAGTTTGCTGTACGATCCAGCTCAGGTTTCGCTTAACATGACAAACATGCTGCAATTTCATTGGTTCTCGCGCTGCTTTCTTCATACAATGACGCGAGTTTAGTCTTTGATTCATTCCTGCGCGTATAGTCTCGCTCTTGACTGTCACTGTTTGCCGATTGTTCATTGACCATCTGGCGGCCAGATGAGTGTTTCGAAACGATAAGTATTGGGTAGTTTTAAAATAAGGTACGCAAGGATAGCGTGCGTTGCGCACGTACACTATTTTCGTCACTTGACGTGGGTATACCCAATAGGATAGCGCGTGGCACGTCCGTAGGAGTGACAAACGCTAATGCAGAACATTACGTACTCTACTCTATAACTCTTAATTTATTCCTGAGAACGATTTGTATATGCCGTGACCTAACTCAAATTATGGCTGATTTGCAGGCAAGAAATGGCGCAGCCTGACCCTGCAGGAGCGGCGGCCATTCGTGGAAGAGGCCGAGCGGCTGCGGTTGCAGCACATGCAGGACTACCCCAACTACAAGTATCGGCCCAGGAGACGCAAGCACGCCAAGCGCGGGTCGCGTCGGGGTAGCCCGTCGCAGCCCGGTAGCCCCGACGAGGGCGGCGGCAACGGCCTCCAGACGCCTCCGGACTCGAGCCCGGCCCGGGGTAGCCCTCCGGACTGCAGCAGCCGTCTCATGCCCGAGATGCCGTACGAGACGCCCGTGCCGCCGACGCCCGAGCTGTCTCCGATGGAACCCGAAGACTGCTGCGGTCCCATAGACGACGGCACGGGCAGTCACCTGTCCCAGCTCATGTGCAAGTTCAACGACAAGTCCATGTTCCTCAAGAACATCCGGCCGCCGTACCGGACCCACACGCAGAGGGGTCTCGGTCCTCCGGGTCTGACGCAGCAGCACCTCTGCACGACCGCCTCGACGACGTGCACGACGAGCGGCTACTCGTTCCAGAGGACGCCGCCGTCGTCGTACTACACGCCCATCTACGCGGCTACCTCCCCGTACGGTCCTCCTCAGGGCGACCTACCGCAAGACGTCTACTACGGCGCGCCGGAGCACATGTACGCCCCGCAGCCGTCGCAGGAGGCGTTCCTGGAACACAGCGACCTGGTCCAGTTCCTGGACGCCGCCACGGCCGCGTCGCCCGTCTGCACGACGGCGGGAGGCTACGCGCCGCTTCCTCCTCTCGGCGCGGGAGACCACCACGCCACGTACGAGACGCTCGGCTCGGAACCGTGCGGGATCGAGTACTCGACGATGCCGCCGCAGCCGCACCACCCGTACGGCCTGTACGCGACGCACCACAGTCACCACCAGCCCGAGCTGCACCACCAGGAGCCCGGAACTGGGATCATCGCGGCCCTGGCAGAGACGCGGCACATCATGTCGTGATGATGACAGTATTCCTTTTTTTTTTTGTCGTTGTTCGTTGGAAGCCGACGTGCCTTTTTTTTTTCTCCCTCTCATTCTCGTGTTTCTCCGCTGCACGTGGTGGAAACCGTCGCTTCCGCGGCGTCTTCGAGAAGGCCCAGACCAGCGACGAGCTCCGTGGGTGCGTTCGTGATTTCCGAGCATGTTACGTGTGTTTGTGTGATCGAGAGAGCGTGTGGTTTCCCCGTGCACCCCCGCCGCCTGTACAGAACAGAGACTCCTTCCTACAGAGTGATGCTGTCGTGCACCGTTGTGCCTATATAACGCGGACCGCGTGGCTGCAGCGCGTGTGTGTGTGATGCTGCTGCAAGCCGCTCCGGCAAAGCGTCCCGAACGACGGAGAAGGTCCGTCACGGACTGCCTGCCGACAAAACCGCGGGGGATCACCGCGGCTTTCGCTACGGTTGCGTGACCGCCGACATGCACTCCTGAGCACGCCTCGCCTTCCCCCTCCTCCCACCACTCGTTGTCGACGGGATGATGCTGTGCCGCCGCTGCTGCAAGCGCGTCGCCGAACGTCGTCGGGTTCTCTGCGTGCGTCGCTGTTTGCTGTGATCGCTGCACCACGTGATCTGTCCCCTACCGCGATGTGTAAAACACGAAGAAAAAAAAAGAAGCCAAAAAAATGGGGACGAAGAGGAGACGAGAAGAGAGACGTTTTATGTTAAAGATACTACGAGATGTGGTTATCGCGAGAAAGAAAAAAAAAAACAAAAAATGGAAAAATATGAGGCCTCTGTAGGTACGGGCGTGCGCAGCGTTCTCCCTAAGGGGTGGCCAAATTTGACACCATCCTCACCCCCCCCCCTCCCAAATGATAGAGTAAGAAAAAAAAGTCCGCTTTCGACGCAAAAAAAAAAAAAAATGAAGCTATGAAGCGCTACTCACAAAGGCTTGCTTGCTATTGGTACCCTTCGTTTTGGTAAAAGTGGTAAGAAAACTGTTCTCCGAACGAATATTCGGTCGACATTAGAGTAAAAAAATAATACAAAAACATTCGCAGCCACAACCCTGCGCATTAAAACATGTAAAATGTCTGATTCAGAATTGCTCCCCTCCCATTAGACATTTAAGTAAGGCGCTTGCCCCCCCCCCCCCCCCCTCCACTCTGTGCACACGCCTACGCCTAAGAAAAAAAAAAATTCCGCGGAGCGCATCTCTGTTGTTATGCGAGCGCCACCGCTCTCACCGCAGTGGTGACCTCGGTTCCGAACCTCCATGCCTGATCTGCTGCTACCGCGAAGTATAGGCCCTTCTCACTGTGCAATAAATGAACACCACCGTCCGTTCTATTACACATAACACTGGCTGCCTGTTTTTGCACGCGCGTGGTCGCAGGAGGAGGCACGAGTGGCGCCACCTACCGTCTTCCTGTACGGCACGGTACACCGTTGTTGCGCAGTCCTTCCTCTGGCTTGGTGTGGCCTTCGGGCCCGAGTAATTAGCTGCTCCCAGTGAGGCTCGCTTTGTGTTGCGATGCGCTTTTTGTTTTTTTTTACGCTGTGTTTCACGTACACACACAAAAAAAAAAAAACTGCTGCTTCAAAATATGGCCCTGAATCTTGCAGTGGCAATAGGTAAGGTAAGACAAAAAGAGTAACGGTTGAACCATTGTAGTGTCAGCGGGTGAGGGTAACCTGCAGATATTTCAGACACCGTTTTTTACTCCACCGACAGAGCGAACCATATAAATAATGCAAAAAAAGGTTTGCTTGGTTCTGGTTTTATTACGATGCGTTTTTATATAGTTTGTGAACACGATCGAGTAACAACACTATATCGGTTAATCCTCTTAATACTTTCCGTGAATGTTTAACCTTTCCTCGCGTATTTCAGTTTGAGCCCCAAATCTCGCTTACTTAGTAGTAACTGACTGTAGTGCACGCTGAACGTTTTCTAGGGAGCTGGAAAGTGTAGCTAAAGATGGTCTAAACGATCACTTTAATATAGGCGCAAGTGGCATTGCCACTAGTCGACAGTCAGCAAGAACAAGTGGCGTGCACTGTTGTGTACAAAAAGTATCAAAAGGTAAACTATGTCAGAATCTGAAATGGTGTTGTGTGGTACTAACTACTATATATGGTGCCCCTTCTAGTCTCCGCACTCCTCTTCCCCATCCTTTGCAGTCCAAATCAGCGGCTGTGTCTTGTTCTAGACATGCGTCGTAATGCTGGAAGGATAGCCTTGCTTTGTGTTCAAAACAGGTAGATCTGTGTACGTCACTCAAAATTCAAATGCAGTTCAGCTGACTACTTCTTCTCTTTCCCGTTCACCAAAGAGTTCACCAAGGGAGAAGGGGATGTCACTGATTACGAACGAGGAATGCTTTGTTAAAAATGTTTTGTGGATGCTACGCTCTGAAAATGGTACCCGCATAATCAAAAGCGCCGTATTGGTCCATATGTGCATGCGCCATTCGCTGAACTGTCGCAGCAAACCGTGGACGCAGAAACACACGCCCGCGCCGTGTTGCAATCTCCGGCTGTAGCGCGCCGCGGTGCTGAATCTTTTGTTAATTGCGTACTTGACCCTGGCTCAGGTGCCCTCTCCTTTCCATCATGTGACTGTGGCGCTAGTGTCCCATTGGTTGGATGCCGGCGCAACGGTTGCTGAACCTGGACAGCACTGCGCCGGCTATTCATAGCTCGATAAGCGGCATGTCGGCTCACCACTGCCGCCGGCGCTCTCGCACTGCGAAGGAATGCGATGCGCTGAGCGCGTCGTCGGGGTTGAACAGCCGATTGGCGGTGTCGAAGGCTCGTGTCATCGGTGTGATTGACCAGGCAAACGACGCCCCCTTGCTAACGGGAGACCTGCACTCAATTATTATTACTTTTTTGTTTAATCCGAAATGTGATACGCTGTGGAGTGTTGAGAAGCCCACCCACGCCGGAACACATTGCTACGACAGGCTACTGTGACGTACACCAGAACTCACCAGGATTGTCTTATGTGTATTATAACCATCAGAACACACGCAAACAGGCTGGTGAACTCACCAGGTCACACCAGCTTTGTATCGTAGTAACATCAGACGATAGTTATAGCGCGAGAACAAAACGACGACACAGAGACAAGAAGGACACGAAAGACACGAGCGTCTTTCGTGTCCTTCTTGTCTTTGTGTCGTCGTTTTGTTCTCGCGCTATAACTATCGTCATGCCATACCAACTAGCCCAAGCTGCCACAATTCTAAGTAGTAACATCAGACTATGTCAGTATAGTTTGCACTATCAATGAATTATCAGTTAACAACAGACCGAGCTGGCTTTTTCTGATGTTGGCGCCAGCCTGTTGGTGTGTTCTATTGACAACGCCAAGGTATTTTCTGATGCACACAAAAGCCTGTGGTGGTGTGTGCTGCTGCGTACATCAGCCTTGCACGGCGTGATTTGGCCTTGTGTGGTGTGTGCTGGCATAAATACCACCTTGGTGACAGCCCACCATCACGGCTGCTGCCTTCATATCCACATTTCTAACTTATAATGGGCTTATTGAACTAAAGTGCTCTGTATGATTGATGACGTAGGATGAATGAGAAAGGACAGAGAGGAATAATAACTGACCACCCAACCAAACATCCAGTATAACAAAAAGTACATGTGATATCCTGATATATGTGGCGGGTTGGGCTTGTTAGTACATACTTACGGCACACTACGGTGCAAGAATGCACAGCGGACGGAAGGAAACTTCATTGAAAACCGAAGGATTCTTTATCGGGAAATTGCAAATACACAGTTTGTCGCAAAGTTTATCCGCTGCACAAGCGTAGATAAACAATGTCATTGTCAGTAAGTTGTATGGAAGCCACGCTTACTCAATCCTCCCCGAGATATTAGATGGTGTATCAGTACGTGTGCAGTGGATAGGCTCTGCATCGGGCCGTGTGAATATGCGTGCCATTTTCAAAAAAAAAAAAAAAAGAAGGGCTCTTCAAAGTTCAGCACTCATCATCGCCGTTTGTGCTCCTTCCATCCGTTACTGTGTATTTTTGCAATGTACTGTGTCGCAAACCTGATGTCTTCTTGTAAAACACATTACATGCTGGCACAGCGCCCTAGGTGATCACATGGAATAAGCATTCAAGCATACGCGTCGTTTCTTACCTATCCGCCTCGTATTCGTATCATTGCCACGTATGTGTCGGGAAATGGTACGTGTCAAAAGTTTCCCAACGACCTGCCGATTAAGCTGTCGATCTTGATATTCGTAACATGATATTATACGCTCATAAATTAGAGACGTGGTCGACAAGCTGACTTGACTATTTATTGGCGGGAACGGCACCGAACCCCCGTTTGACGCGCAGACAGATGACGGTAGAAATAGCAGATAAAGCTTCGATTGCAGCTTAGAAACGTGGAAACACCGTGAACGGTTCGGAAAAGTACAGTAGAACTGCTGACAACCGAAAAGATACAAAGAGGAATCGCCACACACTGCGGAACGCAGTTAAAAAATAAATCTGCGAAGTGTTCTGTTGTAATATACGAAGCACCTCCTAGAGATCTGGGGGAGCAGTAGTAGATACGCTGGTATGATATTCCCGCATCAAGCATACAATCGTACACGCTCGACAAGCGGCGTTACCGCCAGATGGCAGGAGAGGTAAGGTGAGCGAGCATGACTTGATTTCCACGTCAGTAAGCAGCAACAAAGGCGACGTCATTAACCGACGCCGTTACTATAGGTCACGTGCATATACGCACTGGATATCGATCTCCGAGGGTTAGTGCCATGTGGGAGAATTCTCCTGTGTGTTGTTGAACCATGGAAATTCGCAGCCTGCGCGTTAACTGAAAGCGGACTGCTGCTGGTCTCTGTGTTCAATCGGATATTCCCTTATCTCTCGATTGTCTCTTAGCAGCGATTGACATGTTCCAGCCGGAAACACCGGTACATAACTGCGTGCTTTACACCTCTCCAGGTGATCAGATGCAGAACATCGTAACGCCTTACGTAACGCCATTGTAACGCCTTACGGCATGGAGAGTAATTAAATGAAATGAAATGAAATCTGTGCAAAAGCCGTACACAGCGCGCACGTATGGCTAAAATAGCGGTGCGTCCGTCCGTCCTTTATACTAGT